GCTGGCCAACTCGCCACAAAACGGGGATAGAGCGGAATGGACGGAGAAACGGCAAGAGACGGGGAGGGGGGGTCAGCTAAGAAAAATAAAGGATGAAAACTGTCATACACTCATAGTGATGTGTAACTATTTTCTTTGATACAGGCACACGTAACGTTAGATTTCTCGAGCCCATTTTTAGTAAGATTTGCGGTGCTCAATATTGCTTGCCAAGATGCGAACATTCACATTAATACTGAACTGAGAGTCGTAAAACATTATCGAAGTTTTGACGTCATTCTCAAAGCCCACGTGGGACTTCACGGTTTTCATTTTGAAGATACATATTCGCAGATATATACGTGGTGTAGCGAAATGAAGTTCACTGCGAGATTTCGTAGACTTGAAAATTTTAGTTCAGAGAAGTGAGCGGTTCGTTTTAAATATTTAGTCGTGTTTATTTGTAGCCCGAGTGTAAAATATGCAGAGGACAGAATGAAATTGTTTAGTCAGTCTGGGCCTAGCTCACTCCCGAACTTTTTCGGTCAAATCTATGAGAGGCCGAGTGTAGTATATGAGGAGCCGAGCGTGGTTTCGCCGACTCATTCGCCCTCGCGTAAGCCAGCTTCCACGCCGACGCAACGTCGCTCGCTGCTGCCGCTGTCGACTCTCGCTGCTGCTTTCTGGACGTTTGTTGTTCCTTTTTGTCTCTTGCACAAGTTCTCCGATTAAAACTTTTTTTCAGTTCAATATTTATCGTCAACCTGCAAGCGGTTTCTTTGGATGCGGTAAATATCAGAGCAATATCAAAATGCAACTGTTCTTGCTTGCCTTGATGTGTTTTATAAATTCCATCCTGTTGTTAGTTCTTCGCCTAAAAAGTATAAATATGTCGAGTAAAGAATTCAATGGCAAACAGATACTTTCGAATTCTAAACATGCGACTAAGCAACGAAACACGGCGACTATAGGAGGTTTTCCTGACAGCAAATTCGACTCCCTAGAAAAATGATGATAGTTATGGATCGGTTACCCAAGGACGCGCGCTTGAGAACACCCCACTTTGCAAAAAGGTTGGCAATTCTAAGGCGAACCATTGTCCTGGTGTTGCGGCGTTATTGCTTTAGCCGGTCAAAGCACACGCACACAGACGTCGACTGCCGTGACATTATTAGCGTCGCTTGAGTGTCTCTATTCCATCGTAGCTTTGGCATGCGGTCGGACTTAGAGTGAGACGGAGCATAGGGCTGATTGCGTATATTATTCGGGAACTACGACCGATTACGACGAATTCAGTCGAAACGAAACGCGGAAAGTCAAAACCCCCCACTACGTCACACTATACCGAGGTGTGTGTTGTGGTCGGTTTGCCTTGCTGCATACCCGACCCGCAGGAATAACACCGAGCCAACGGTTTCAACAACAAGAAACTACCTTTAATTGGACATGGACGATACAATGAAGAATATACTAATAGAAAACCAAAGAGTACTGGCGGGGCTTGTGTCCAGCCAGCCTCTGCCTGTGCGTCGCGTCTGATCCGCCTTATCAAGGCGGCGCACCCGATGTGCTTTATCAAGGCCGGCTTGATTCCGCCGCGACGCGGGAAAGTTCGCCACCTGTGCCCGCAGTCGGGCAAGTGAGCTGGGGAGTCGCCAGGGTGCCCACAGTGTACAGCGTAAAGAAAGAAATTTTCCTTCGTTTTGGTTTTTCGTAATATACTCTGTCGGAAAGCGGGTATCTCTTTGCGCTTGCCCTCAGCTTGGCGCTTACCCAACGAGTGGAATAGGCCAAGGATACGCCTGCAATCAGATGAGGGTATTGTCGGATATCCGCGAATATCCACGGAGATGCAGGGCTCTAAAAATAAGACGTAACCGAAACCGAAACCAACCTGCAACTTTACTGGTTCGTCATCTTGTTGGAGCGTCAGATGTTCTGTAACCATCAGCCCACGGGCAGCTTGAGCCTGTTTCGTCCGGCGTCAGAAGCAATCACAATGCCGTCGCGATTGTCCGTGGGAAATAATGAACTACGATTCATCAAGCTGATCTTAGTCAAACAATGACCAGAAATTGTTTTAAAATTTTCAGCACGAGATTTCAGACGATTTGCATTTCCCATTCGATGCGCCTGCATCGATTTCCGGGGAACCTTCCCCGGGGGCCCCCTTGAAGTCTTCATGTCGGCGGACTCGCAATCCGCCGACATGTATCGACCCAGATGCCACGTCGAAGAAGAATGGCATGGAAGGCTTTATTTGCTAACCAGGTGGGAACCGTTTTCCAGCACGACGCGAGCTCTAGGACTCAGTGTTCGCGTCAGACTGCTAGGCCCCACTTCCGTCGCAAAGACCTCTTGGTCGGAAACCGAGAGGGTGTCACTCTCTTGTATTCCTTCGTGGTGTTCGCACACCCCACAGCCCGTCACGGATTCCCCCCACCCTTCATCGCATGCCGCGAACAGCCTAATCCAGAACCATATTGGCAGGACCACACACGTTCACTATCACTGCAACGCACAACGCCGTGGAGTAGCTAGGGAGCGTTGTCTGCTATTGGATGCAACATTTTACGTGAGGAGCACCCCTGCTTGTTGTTGCCAGTAGAGCGACAGAAAGTGATCCGAAGGTTCACTTTCTGTCGCTCTACTGGCACTTAGAAATCGTTTTCTCTAAATAATATATGTAAGTATATATTTTTATTTTTATCCAATATTTCGTAGACAGATTCACGGGTGTATATTTGATAAGCAGTGAAAATTGTATAAAAACCAATGACCATCAATCTTTCGCCGGAGCTCCCCTTTAAGAACTTGCACATATACTAAGTCGTTCTTGGGGACATGGACAAGGCGGCTCAAATATGTAGTCGTGAAGATGCGCCTACGGCGCCTTCACGAGTGAAAGTACGGGTAAAACGTAACGGGGGAAAGTAAGCAATTATGGCGACCCCGCGACTCTAACTTCCCACAGAAAGGAAAGTATTTATTATGCAGAAATGTAAGCTCGAGGAAATTTGAGATCCTCTGAAAGAAGACTAAGACATGGTTTGAAACCGCTTAAAATCAAAACAGCCTGCAAAAACGGTCATTTTTTTTACGTAGACGAATAAGAAGATTGCTAGTTTTAGCGGGAAAACCGCTAAACTGGCAACTGGTTAGACACTCTATAACCGCCACCGGAGGGCGCCACGATACCTTCAAATCTTCGGCGTAGGAGATCAGTTGCGGCGCATTCTCTGTGCATAATTGGTTTTGTTGGTTAAAAATAAACGCTTAAGAACGATTATCGCCGTGACGATGCACTTTCGGAGCTGCTTGATTGGCTTCCTATAGGGTCGTAGCGTAGTCTGTGGTGGGACTCGAAGTGAAACGGACTACACTGCGCTGCCTGATACGGCTTTCCCTCAAGTAGAACCTTGTGTATCTTTGGCGATTACAAAAGACTTCTCCAATCTCTGCAGAGTCTGCTCCTGTAGAAAGTGCACACAGCGTAGAATATCAAGTTTTTGAGGCTCATAGGGCTCTTTAAAAAAAATACTCGAAGAACTAAGCAAGGCTTAAGAAAGAGAATTAAGCAAGTGCAAACCATCGGTAAAAGAAGGAAGAAATAAAAAATATTTTTGTACGCAGATTGTTTACTGTATTTATTCTAAGGGCGGGACAATGCCCCCCGATCCGAGTGTAAGGGCAGGGTTTAGAGGTGGAGTCTTTGTTTCCTCCCGCTTGGTTCCAAAGCTACTATTGGCGAGAAAATTCTCATGGAACCGCCCGTTGCGAGGAACACGCCCACAAAACTGGGATATAAATAAGGAAGCAAAATTTCCACAACTCAGACGAGCAATCGCCCCATCAAGTTCCTTGAAGAAAGAAAACCTTACGTAAGTTCTCTTCGAAATTGCTACACTTTTGCATTAGTTTTTGTCTCATTGCAGCGCAGTTAGAGGCCCCAGGAGTTCAATCTGTGCTCGTGAAATAGAATTCAGAAGACCGTTCGTTTAAATACCAGTCTGTTGTAGGTAGATATTTTCAGCTACGTTTTAATGCTGTTCCTTCCATTTTGGGTAATATTCGCTTCCAACAATATATATATAAAACCAATTTTGTCTCTAAATCAGTCTTGGGTAAGTTACTTTCAAAATGTAATTCGTTAAAGTTACAGTTACGTTCAGAAAAAAAGTAGCGAAGTTAGAGTAATGGAGCTTACTTTCAATGGTGTGTCTCGCAGTTGTAAGTGGCAACGGTGACAACACGACTCCATGTTTTTCTTGTATTTGCTCTGGAAAATGCCTGTGTAAAGCGTTCGTGTTCTCGGCGGTCTGGAAATCACTACGATACTACGTTCATCAGAGCCAGTATTGGATGAAATTTACGTGAGACGTGTTTTTCACTCCTCTTATTATCGAATTGTTCTTCGCTTGCCGGCGAATTGAGTAGACGTTCTGGAATTCAGATGATCGCGACGGTTTTTGCCGGTGCATGGAGGGCACCTGTGTTCTCAAGTTCGAGGTCTCCTGTAAGAAAGTTATCGCCGAATTCGGCCCCAAACGTAGCGCTGTGCTAAGGTGAACCAAGCTTAGAAACTAAGGCTGGCTGCTACACAGAAAGTCCATGCCTGTCTGGTCCCGTTCAATACAAATTGCTATTGCGATGAGCTACTGCAACGCACAACGAGGAGGAAGGGTCTACTCCTGGATACAACATTTGACGTCACAATCAATGCCGATGCTGCTCAGTGTTGCCAGAAGAGGCGCAGTTAGGGATTGGGACGCGTGAACTTCAAAATTTCTTTTGTCAAAAGAAAATAATTTTTGATGATATATTTCGCAGCCTTATCCAGGGGTAAATATTCAGTGCACGCCGAATGTTTCATAAAAACATATGACCATTAATGTTTCGCAGGAACTCTCATTTAAAAAAGCTGCCTCTACATTCCGAGAAAAAAAAAAAAAGATTGCGCTGGCGAGTTTTGCCGCTATATTTATGTTATATTTTCTCTTTTAGGAGGAGGATCCCGTTAGACTGTGATATTATATTGCAATATAATCAACATGCTCCTCGTACTTTTTGCCTTGGTGCTTATTCTACCTGCATTTCAAGGTAAGTCGTATAAAGATATAAGTGTTTAGCAATTATAACATTTTTTCTGCTTTCTTTCTAAATATACTTTGCCAGGTTTCCTTCTTCAAGAAACACCTGTGATTGGATACGACCGGTGCTCTCTGAACGTCGTTTGGTATTGCAAACAATGCCAATGAACGTCTGGTTTCTGACGAGGTTGACCAAATGGAAGTCAGTGCATTGCATGCCATTTAAAGGTGCTCTAAGGAGATTTTTCAGATCGCCTAAATATGGCGATAACTCCCTGTGCGCACTCTAAGCATCCTATAAATTCATAAATCATAAGGATGCGTGGCCAAGTTTTCTATTGGCAAAGTAATAAAAAATTGAGCACACCGAAGTTATCTCTGGCGGGGTGGAGCATTGTTCCGGCAGCAAGGACGATATGTGACCAATGAAAAGGTGACATTTCGTTGAGATTGCAAACACTGATAGTAGAAAATGTCTGTATCATTTGTAGATGATAAAACAAAATAAGTGTAGTCGCAAAATGTTAGCTTTTCGCCAAGAGAAAACATATTATAGCAATATTCGCCAAAAAAGGGGCACCATACCTTTTTTTTCTTTTTTCGCGGGAGTGATGTGTCTCGTCGTCAGCTCGCGAGCGAGTGCTCGCAGGTTTGAATCGTAGTGCGGACTGAATGGGCAACGTGGCGCGTGCATTGAAGATATCACTCCGCGATTCAGCCGGTCGGAGGTGCCAGGTCCACTGTCAGCTATTGGCTGACAGCGGTCCTGGTTTCGGAACATGCTCTTCCCATCGCCGGAGACAAACTCTTTGTGTCGCGATATTTTATTTCACTTTTAATGGGGAAATCGGACGCGTATCTTAATGATTGGGGGATTTCTAGGATGTTCACAACCAGCAGAGTGAGGTATCGCAATATTTAGGCGAATTCAGAAACTGCTTCACGTAACCTTCATCAGATGCACACAGGCTATAGTGTTGAACTGATAATCTTTCGTCTAGACATGTGTTCAAGAAATTGGAGAATCTTGACATCGCAAATGAAGTGGTCGCGACTTCCCCGGTTAATATGGTTTCGGAAGTTGTTCAGAGGGTTAAGCAATCTGTTACTCAAAATTCAGCTAATGTGTAGGGCTAAAAATAACTGATGATGATGTTTATCGATAACGTCGGATGTTTTGTGCGGATGGCCCAATTTAAAATCCCGTATTAAAATGTTTTGGTGGATAACTTAAAATTATTAATTTTACGAATAAAAATGATTGACAAAAGAACTTAATATCAAAGTTTACTTTTGCGAACTTCTCCCTACAATCTTAGAAAGCTACCAGCATTTTACGCAATGCTAAAGCAAAGGCATAGTTCATGCTATGATGCAATTAATGCAGAGGTGCAAGCGAACAAGGCAAGAATAACGATAGTAATTTCTGGAGGTCCTAGGATTATTATTAGTGCTTGCGCTTGCTCGGGTACGCGATTCTAAAACTCACAATAATCTCCTTTCTTGGCAGCACCTTCATAACATTTTTTTTTTTTCAGAGGGGTTTTTGTCTGAGGCCTATACAGGTGCTGATTGCTTCAAAGTTGTTAAGGAAGGCGGAGTTATATTCTGCATAATCGAAGGGTATTATGTAAGTATTGCGAAGAATCAAATACAAATCAGATATTTTTACATAATCCAAAGCAGGCCTAGATTTTTTTTTATAATGCAAAGAGACTTAAAAATTTAAGTTTGTTACACTAAAAACCTCTGTTTGGCATGAACACCCGTAACATTTTAGAAAACGCTCACAATGTTACGAAGTTTGTGACACACCCCGGAAACACGGGGCCACATAAGGCGAAAATACCGGGCGCCCTTTCTATGTCGACGTTTCTACAGCTGCGAGGTGGAGCGAGTAATTTGACAAGCTCGAAAGCAGCCGGTATTCAAGAGAGGAAAGCTCCTGTACCTAAAATTTATCAAGGTTTTTTTCTTTTTTTTTACCCATTTTCTTTCGTAAAAATTAGGGCTGGGCGTTGAATAAAATTTTTGCCACATTGATACTTTAGACCCATGTTGTTGTAAAAAAACTATCTCCAAACTCGGGTCTAAAAACATGCTTTTCGTGCAAGGCTCGTCAAATTATGAGGCGCTGGAGAAATGCAGCCTTCTGCGTTAAGTCCTTATTTCGAACTCTTTTTGTTCGCCTTCCGCCCATTGAAAAGCATGCGGGAAGGGCCTTAGAACGCACCTGGTATCGCTGCGCCGCAGCGTTCTTCCGCAACATAAAGTTCGTCTGCTTTCCTTGCCGTCACCATGGCAACGAACGCCGAATGAATAGAAGCATGCACGGTACCGCCGCGTGAAGCCAGCAACAGCTGACGCCATTTTACTAACGCCGTCTGCTAGCCAAAGCCGAACGCGGTGTGTCAGATCAACCGCCTCCGCCGGTGCCCCGCTAGCGAAGACGACGAAGCTGAGACACGCCGACGGCGATCTAGCAAGCAACAACACCGCGGGACGACTGCAACGGCGGCATTTATTCGGATCAAAGGCCGCCTTCACCGGTGCGCCGCTAGCAAAGACAACGAAGCTGAGGCACGCCGACGGTGAATGGGCGAGCAACAGCACTGCGGGACGACTGCAACGGCGGCATTTATTGGGATCAAAGGCGCGAAATAAGCAAGAACAATTTTTATTTGAATCATAACACGCGATATCCAAGTTGGGGACCACATACCTTTGCTGGGTCCTTCCTGTGAACTTTTTACAGAGACACGGGGTGCCGCATTCAAAACACGGCTCCGTTTGCAAAATATGGGGGCCCTGAGAAGGGCCGTTTAGACCGCTACCAGAACCTATAACTGACGTAACGAGCACTTGACGAGCGGTTGGCGCACAAGTCGTCTTTATGCACGCAGACGGGCGACGGGCTCAGCGCAGCGGATCACTCGAAGACACCGGGGCCGTCAGAATCCTCGCCCTGTCTGCGTCGGGGCTCTAGATTTTGGCGGCCGCGGCGACGAACGACTGGAATCTATCAGTGTTTCCGCGCGCCTTCTCTCTCCTCCAAAACATGAACTTTGCAAGGTGACCAGTGAAATAGTGGCTCTCGCGCCGTCCAGATGGAGGAGTTTTTGACGTGGGCCCAGGTGCAATCCACCGTATTGGTGTGCGCACCAGTGTTCGCGTCGACAAAGTGCAGCTTGTGGTTGACGGTGAGGTGCGTGAAGCGAGCGTCATCTGCAAGCTTGCGATAGCCAGCCCAACAATCGGTGATTATTCTTGTTCCAGGGCGGACCCACTTGGCTACTAGCCCTAGCAGGGTTTTAGCGTCACGGGTCTCCACGGGAACAAGAAAGTAGCACCCGCTGTCACGCTCCACACCGCCGAAAACCCACTGACCAGGCCTTAAATACCCGCGATGGTACTTTCGCCGCCCGAACATACTCTCGTCTAGCTCTACTGTCACGCCTTCGCCGCCAATCATCTCTGAATGCGTAAAAACGGCATTTACCACAACCTCCCAACAAAGGCTCGTCCAATCAGTTATTGTCTTACTTGCGACATCAGTCTCCCGCTGAATGGTGGCGCACGGTAGGTTCTGGCACCAGAGGTAGATGATCTTCATGAGTTGGGGAAGCGTCAGGTGCGATCCCTCGAAAAAGGAACCGCTCCGTACCGAGACCTCGCCCCGGCACTGAACCTTGACCGGCTTCCTCTTGGGCACCTCACGAGTCATCCACACACCGTACCCCCACGAATAACCATTCGCAGATTTAGCGCGGACTTGTAGCGTCATCGCAGCTTCGCACTCTGGGCACGCACACGAAACCAGGAGCAGGCCCATGCCCTGAAGCAAATTAATTGCTTCAAGAGGGTCTTTCATGAGGACGGCACAAGTTAAACGCCATGGCACTGTGACGCTCGCCTCTTGAAGAATAAAGCGCCGAGGGTGCTAAACAAGCTGAACTGCGCGCTTCTTTGCATTTATTATTTTTATTTGATCCGCCATTTTATACCTCGTGACACCATTCGAACAAACTGATTGGTTAATCGGTCGGGCCTTGTCATCGCGTGACAAAACAAACGCCAATCGTGTGACCAGAACGGTTGCCACGGTCGGCATCGTTACAAAGAAGAGAACAGTCGGACCCAACAACAAAATAAAATAACAAAGTGAATAAAAAAAAAAAAAAAAAGAGGGAGCCGTTTTCGGGCGGCGTGTTTTTTGATGAAAGGTGTTGCTCGCAATGGTTACTTGTTTGGTTTCTTTTTTGTTTCTTTACCCTAGAGGATGCCACGTCCCTCATTTGAAGCTGATTTGTTAATTAAATAACAAACAACTCGTTGAAACAAAGGAGGGAGGGAGTCTTGGCGTCCGAATTCTTGAAAAGAAAAGTAAGAATGCACAATATATACCGTACTGCAAGACCGCTATACTCCGCACTCGGCGAGGCCTCGTGACGCCGCCGACGGCCGTTAGGCTATTTATTTTGTTTCTTTAGACTTTTATCGCGACCACTACTCCACCGTGCCTCAGATTTTGCAGCGAAGGTCCGGCAGTTTTTAATAATTATTAGTATTGTCGTTTGAAGGGCACTCTTTTTATGCTGCTTCGTCTTCGTTCCTGACGCCATAAAAATATGGGCGTTAAAAGTTTGCCCAACGTATAAAAAAAAAGTTTAGCTCAAGGTCGGATTGGTTTATGGATACAATTAGTCCAATAATTAATTAGCCCAATTATTTATATTTCTTATTAGCATCTTTTGTGTGCATGCGTGAAATACAGCACCCAACGATAAGACATGAGAAGAACGCTGCGAGTGCTGGACCGTAGACCATTTAATGTCACCAAAATCCAGGGCCGAAAACACATGGAGGTATTAGTGCATTGTTTTAAAAGCGCTACAAAAACAAGTCGGGGACACTGAACTTCTAGACCAACTTTGAGTGCGTGAGCGTGTGATGTGTGTGTATGCCATTCTTTATTTTTAGATTGTAGGCGCGAAAAATCCACACGGACTAGGGCCTGAGTACTGCAGAGTCTAGCCCGACATCTGGGTGCTGTTACTCATTTCCTAGTCAGTGTGGATTTTTCGCGCCTATAATCTAAAAAGAAAGAATATTTTTATGGCGTCAGGAACGAAGCAGCATAGAAAGAGCGCCCTTCAAACGACAATACTAATAATTACTAAAAACTGCCGGACCTTCGCTGGAAAATCTGAGGCACGGTGGAGTAGTGGTCGCGATAAAAGTCTAAAGAAACAAAATAAATAGCCTAACGGTCGTCGGCGGCGTCATGAGGCCTCGCCGAGTGCGGAGTATAACGGTCTTGCTGTACGGTATATAGTGTGCATTCTTACTTTTCTTTTCAAGAATTCTGGCGCCCAAGACTCCCTCCGTCCTTCGTTTCAACGCGTTGTTTGTTATTGAATTAACAAATCAGTTTCAAATGAGGGACGTGGCATCCTCTAGGGTAAAGAAACAAAAAAGAAACCAAACAAGTAACCATTGCGAGCAACACCTTTCATCAAAGAACACGCCGCCCGACAACGGCTCCCTCTTTCTTTTTTTTATTCACTTTGTTACTTTATTTTGTTGTTGGGTCCGACTGTTCTCTTCTTTGTAACGATGCCGACCGTGGCAACCGTTCTGGTCATACGATTGGCGTTTGTTTTGTCACGCGATGACATGGCCCGACCGATTAACCAATCAGTTTGTTAGAATGGTGTCACAAGGTATAAAATGGCGGATCAAATAAAAATAATAAATGCAAAGAAGAGCGCAGTTCTGCTTGTTTAGCCCCCTCGGCGCTTTATTCTTCAAGAGGCGAGCGTCGCAGTGCCATGGCGTTTAACTTGTGCCGTCTTCATAAAAGACCCTCTTGAAGCAATTAATTTGCTTCAGGGCATGGGCCTGCTCCTGGTTTTTTATTTATTTATTTATTTATTTATTTATTTTACCCTCAGGGCACAAAGGCATTACAAAGGGGAGTGGGGAATAAAAGCAATAAGAATACACAAGGAACAATGAACAATATCTCAAACAACTCAAACAATAGGGAACATGAGGTTGGTAATAGAATTACAAAAAAGAGCGTGGTCAGTCATTGATGTGAGAGATGCAGGTAAGCGGTTCCAATCGTTAGAAGTTCTTGGGATAAAAGAAGCGTAATAAACGTTAGAGTGACAAAATGGTACACCAACTTTTTGACGATGATCAAGGCGTGCTGAAATAAAGTATGGGGGGATTATCATTTGGGCTTTTAGGTAAGGAACATGGTGATAGATTTTATGAAAAAGGGAGATTCGAAAAACCATGCGACGATGTGCGAGGGTCGGAAGTTATAATGTGCTTTTCATTGACGTTACGCTTGCTGTGCGGTTATAGTTGGCCAGTATAAAACGTGTAGCTCTGTTTTGAACTCCTTCAAGTGAGTTAATGAGGTAGATGGTTGAGAGATTCCAGATGGAAGCTGCATATTCGAGCTTAGGCCTAACTAGTGTTTTATAAAGAGTCAGTTTTAATGACGATGGACCTAAAGGAAAGTTACGTTTGAGAAAGCCAAGCATTCGGTTAGCGTTGTTAATCACATAGTTAATATGAAGTTTCCAGGAAAGGTCGTCACTTAAGATCACACCTAGG